TGCTCGGCTTGGCCAACTGCACCTTGGGAGCAAGTTTCACGATCAAGCTTGCCAATCCCAGATTTCGCAATGTCGCCACCAGCCAAACTGGATCCGGGGGTCGACCTCTTCAACGACGACGACCAAATAAATATTTTTTGGGCTAGTTGCGACATTGAACTTGAAACTTTCACACAAGGTGCTGTTGGCCAAGCCGAGCCCATTGCTCTAATAAAAACCCCACGTTTCATTGTAATGTTTGGAGACACAGGCACCTTTATGTTTGTAAGCGTGATGCTATATGAGAAGTGGTCTTTGTTTAATGTAAAGTAGCTAGACCCTGACAGAGCAAAAGATGCAGATAGACCTCTTTGTGTAACACAGCCGGTTTTGCATGATTGGAAGCGCCGACGCATGATACCTCCAAACCATTCAGCACCAGCTCATCATTGGCAGCTAATAGCCTCTTCCTCCCATTCGCCTTTGTTGCCCAAACCAATGCATGTGAGCGATTGTGCTGCTCCAGCCCATCATGTCCATTCTTCAACTTCCTGATCCGAGCTTATTTGACTGAACAATGTTCAAACAAAGAAACATCATCCAACTTCACATAGAAACAGTTGATTAGTTATTCGTAAACTGCCACTTGATATTCCATTCCTCCCATTCTCACTGTTGGTGCATTCAAGTACAACTACCACCTGCGAACGATTGTCCTGCTTCAATCCATCACGTCCATCCTACGCACGTCTTGATCCGATTGTCTTGGACTGAATGGCAAGTTGATGGCGTGTACACATTCTTGTCACTCTTCTACAACACACGTGTCTCTCGACATTACACACACTCTTGCGCGCTTCCCTGGCACAATCCAATGTAATAGTATTCAATGCAGTAGTAGTTGCTCTTTACTCCATCATATCCAACAGCGTTCCTTACTTGCAGCAGCGTGTCTTACAGCTTTTTTACGTGAACAGCAGATAGCCATCATATAGGAGCAGCTTTATTGACGTGTAGCAACTTGCTTCAATACATATGACTTCTTATGGATATGGATATGGATCTGAATACTGTATTACTTTGATACCTTTGACGAAGGAAGGTGTTTCATCTACGGATAATATTGGAATACTCAAGCCAAAGTATACAGCACCTATTCTGCAATCATGAATGAAGGATGATCATGGCGGCAGCAATCAAGAATAGAATGGCACAATTATCCCTGTTCCCTCTATGTAATCCACCCGCTTCTTATTCAATGCTGTTCTTTTATCATATTTGCTCGATAAACATTTGCACATGCTGGTACCATACGTGCTCTTCGACTTTTCATTGAATGAAAATTGGATTCAACATGATACTTTGGAGCTTGTACTATCAGCTGCAGATGTGCAAGCGTGGATCACTTGGTTATTTCTGCATTGAAGGCAATGGAGATCATATATTTGGTAGGAGGTTACACAATAGGTTACACAAGTTGGTTCAGGAGTGCAGTTGCATAACTAATCGACTGATGTGATGCGCACAGAGCTAATAGCTTAATTACGAGGGCTGTTCTCAATTGAAGTCTTGAGCAGTGATCATTCTTATCGAGCTAAGAGTATAGGATATTGTTGAGGTTACATACAAACAGTGATAACTGTAGCAAGCGGGGTGGCATGGAGTCCACGAATTGGAGCGAACAGGAGGAACAAAGAGATCACTCTTCTTCACTTCCACTTCACAAAAGAGGTAAGCGTGTCTCCATTTACAAACTACAACGCGTTAATTGCTGGCATTCCTTACAATGTACAGCGTCCATTGGGTTGAACATGTGGTCAATGGCAACACTTTCCAGTTCCAGACATTCAACAGCAAAGTACGCGCGCGATCTGCCCATGACTCATGCTTCCATTGCAATACAACATGTACGTTCCATCGCTGCATTACTTTACCATTCAAGCTGGACATTGAGATACTAAAGTTCACGTGTAGTTTACTATTCTCGCGTTTATACGAGATCCAAAGGGGGCGTCGTGTGTCGTGTGTATGCTTTCCATGGTTGTCGTCAGGGAGGGTCGCAACCTATTGTTACTATGGGTATGTCGACATGAAAAGCGAATGTTATTGTTACCTTACACTTCACTTACTGTAGCTTGGACACGTTGGATTATGGTACCTGTGGCAGCAACAGGATACGGATCTCAAAGCAAGAATGCTGTATGGTTGGCTCAATGGTATGCGTGGTATTGGATCTACAAAGCGAAACCTGTGAATTAACGAGACTTACAGTGAAACAGCAGCAAGACAATATGGATGACATGGAGATACGGCTTTATTTGAGGCAATGATGCTATTGAGGAATACCACAAGGTAAAGTGTCCATTATGAAATTTGTCCCTTCAAGTGTGCTTACCAAACGCCATACAGTGGCAGAGCCTCTTTCGGCGATACTATTTTGATCAATCAGCACGTCGAGGATGTCATTGTATAGTACTGTGCTCTCCTGGGGAATTTTGGCCCGGAAACAGTGTGACTCAAGATGCGATGGCAAGGCCAATTTGAAAAGGCATCCGCTGTGCACACGGCCTCCATCCAAGTATGGCTATTGATTTCCTTGCCTACAGAGAGAAGGTGGATATCTCTTATGATGCCAATTTCAGGATCCAACGAGAGTATGGTACATATGGTGGCATATCTTGGCGCTGCAGGTTGATTATTGTATTGCCTTCGGATGGTGTATTTGGTTGCAATTCCTTGTGATCACCATGGTTCAGGGCGTCGTATGCCTTCCTTACCGAGATGTCCACAATGAGAGTTCCCAAGACGTCTTTGCATTGCCTCTTTTGGGTATGCTGACAACAAAAGCGTGTGGGTTGGTTTTACTTGTTATCTCACATTGCGTTTATGGTAGGTGAACATGTTGGATGATGGTACCTCTGGCAGCAACAGGATACGGATCTCAAAGCAAGAATGCTGTATGGTTGGCTCAATGGTATGCGTGGTATTCGATCTACAAAGCAAAACATGTTAATTAACGAGCCTTGCAATGAAACAGCAGCAGTACCTACTGGATGGCATGGATATACGGTTTCTATTTGAGGCAAAGATGCTATTTAGAATACCACAAGGTAAGAGTGTTCATTATGATGGGATTGGTTGGATTCAAGTGGACTTACCAAACGCCATACAGTGGCAGAGCCTCTTTCGGCGATACTATT